AGAAGGGTTAGCCAAATGATGCCAAATTATGACGTGCGCCAAGGATCGTCTGAACCCCAGCGCAGGTTCAGNCGATCCTTGGCGCACGTCATCGCTTAGTCATCATTTTTAGCGAAAATGAAGATTTATATGTAGCTCTGCCAAATCTGGTCCAAATGACATGGTTTTTTTTGCAGTATGCACTCCTTAATGGTAGGATCATTCTGAAATGAGGCTAAATGTAGGTAAATACAAATAAATAGGCCGAAATGACATGTGTACTTTCAGGAAACATTGGTTTTATGTAGCTCTGCCAAATCTGGTCCAAATAACATGGTTTTTTTTGCAGTCTGCACTCCTTAATTGTAGGATCATTCTGAAATGAGGATAAATGTAGGTAAATATAAATAAATAGTCCGAAATGACATGTGTCCTCTCAGAAAACATTGGTTTCTGTATACTGATCTTGAATTCACATAGTTTAAAACAAATGCAAACAGTATTACCACACACGCGGTGAAATTGTTTGCACATGTTGAATGATTAGTAATCCATCTTGGTCCACTGAAAATGAAGATTTCTATGTAGCTATGCCACTTCTGGTCCAAATGACATGGTTTTTTTTGCAGTCTGCACTCCTTAATTGTAGGATCATTCTGAAATGATGATAAATGTAGGTAAATAGTCTGAAATGACATCTGTACTCTTGGTTTCTGTATGCTGCACTTGAATCCATATGATATCACATGGTTAGAAACAAATGCAAACAACTTTACCACGCAGGAGGTAAAATTGTTTGCATATATTGACACTGCGGGCATGGGCTTATATATTCAGTGAATAAATTTTGAACATACATAGAATAAATTTCAAATATCTTCAAACTCAAGTTCACTGTTTATATTCTGAATATATTTAAAATTTATTCTTCGGTTTCTTTCTGTTTTATTCAGTGCTTTTATTTGACATTTATTCAATCCATTTTAAGTGAAGAATATATGCTGATCATATTTGAAATATAGTGCCTGAATATAGTGTGAATAAATTAGAATCCTGATCGAGTCACGTCACGCTCCGTTATCTCCAGCTATGTAAATCTGATCCAAATCTGATTGTCAGATCCATCCGAGCGAGCCAGGCGAGAGCCTTGCTCATACATCATGCACTCCATCCGGACTACTGTACATCCAAATTAATGTCAGAGGTACGGTAACATTATAGGGCTGGCATTTCCGTGATTCACAAAGCAGATGTACAAGGCTATCAAAAAGACCATGCCGTTCATGTTCCGAATGGCAACACTGCAGAGGGGGTTTTATGGCATCGCAAAAGTTGGGTTGTTGTCATCCATCGTTGACATAAAGCCTTGTGTTGCGGTAGCGTCATGAGAGAGAGAGTTGGTTAAGACATGAGGGATTGCCCAGAAAACGAGTTGGGACTTTGATAAAATCAATGCTTGAGCTACCGCCGTTATAACGAAGATAGAATTACCTGAAAAGATCAACAAAAATTGAGCCACAAACCCTCAACCTCGTGTGAATGGATGTTGAATGACAGCGACACCTTTTATATACCCGTGAGCGCTCCTTCAAGCATCGTCATCATTCTAGAAGACCTCGACAAAGCTCAACCTCCCAGCAGAGCTCATTGTCGAAACGTCAGCCCAATCGGCATCTTTAACCACGCGCAGAAGCAAGCTCCGCCGAAATAGGCCATCGTTGCCATGGAATCAGGTGAAAGAATGGCTCGAATTTGTGTACAAGCATACGAGGCGAGCTGCTACACTGTCGATTGGGTCATAAAAGGCAGTTGAGAGGTAGGGTAGCAAAAAGTTCACACCTTTCCGGGGCCATGGCTAGGTGGGAGAAGCTTTGTGAGGATGTAGATGTCCACGGAGCCATTGAGATGGTCTTACTACTCCTGACAGTACCCCAGTGTCCCACCACCAAAAAAGACCGTCAACATCGCCACGCCGTCTTCGTTCATGCTCCCTACAAATTGTGACGATTTTAGAGGAGCTGTGATTTGACTTCGGCATCGAGCTCAGGCTTGACAAGTCGGATATTGTCTTGCAGTGCTTGGATAAGAGCTCCTCCAGTCGGTTCGCATCGCGAATCCACGAAGAGACCTCGATCGAGGAATAGCTGGCGGTTGAGGAGCATCGTGGCGGCTCAGCCTCTTGGAATTCAACATTCAACCCACTCACTCTCACCCTTCCGAGTCCATCCCCTGCGCCTGCGACCTCCCTTTCCACACAACCACTAAAGCCGCCCTAACAACCCAACACCAGCTCAACACGCACACATTCAACACAATCATCTCCACCAGTTAGTCTTTCGGTCCTTCAAGCGTTCAACGTGTCCCTTGCGATAGGGTTGTTGAGGCGGATTTCCAATTTGGGGATAAACATTGTAATGCACACGTTCCCCCTATAGTTCATGGGGAGATATGAAGGCTGAGATTGAGTTCTGTCGCTTGCGCCTGGTCCAGTTATGATTGGTGATGGAGGCTCTTTGAGATGATTGTTCGTCTCGTTTATGGGTGGTCAAATGACAAATGGGCGTGGGCAAACAGGAGTATTGAGCGTGCTGTTTCTTACGGGTAAGACAAGTGAGATATTGGATTGACAGATGAGCGGAGGAGCGAGATTGTGGGCCCCTCAACGAGATCAAGAGCGAGATCGAAGACATTGGGAGGCGTCGATGCAGACCCCTGTGCCGTTGACGGAGATGACAGTCATGTGGTGAATCCTGCCCCCTCCCCTGTAACTTCCACCTCCTGGTAACCTGCTCATCATTCCCCACAACCTTCGTATCATCCGTCCAGGTTCTTTGTTCCCTTACATCACTATGGTGAACCAGAGTCAAGCCGCAAAAGCGTTGCACGGCACTAGAGTTGTTTGTGTGGGATTTAGGGTGGTCGAGGAAAAATGTGTGGGACGGATGATCAATGTTGGCGACGGATCGCCAGTAGGGCGGCGTTGATGATGAGTTTGCATCCACACCGACTGGTGCGTTCCCGGGCTGGACAATCAGATCGTCCCCCAGCTCCACCTTGTCGATGTGGTCGAGATGCGTAGTATCTGGCTGTGGGCCCCTGATGTAGATTGTGAGCCGAGTTGGAGGCGTAGGGGGGGCGTTGACGAAGTCGACGTCTTTGCAGGCGCTCGTGTTGTCGACGAGGGCTGCAAAGCCGTTGGTAAGGGCGACATTTCTGCGGATTGAGTGGATGTTAGATGAACGGGGTGCGGACGAAGGCACGACGCCACAGTAACCTCTTCTCCCTCTACTGCAACTCCTACCTCCCTGGCGACCTGCTCATCAATCCCCACAGACTTCGTGTCATTGTTGGAATTCCCTGGTTCCCTCGCGTTGGCACCGTAATTCGAAGTCGAGCTGAACGAGAAGGAGGCGGCGTTAGTGTGATTTGGCGACGCAAAGGCCTCGTCCGGTCGATCCTCGAAGATCCGCGAAACATGGGACGTGGGGAAGATATCTGAGAGTTTGCAGTTCGATGGAATTTGAGGGTGGTGCGACTCAGAAGGTGGCTTGATGTAGCCAGACCTGAGTTACACGATTGAAATGTTGTCAAATGTTACCCACCTTCAAATCGAGATTGCAGTCTCTGATAAAGGTAACGTCCAAGTCAACATCTTAGTGCGAAGGGACCTAGTAAAGAAAGGTTAGGATGAGAACAAGTTTAGAAGGTGGAGGGGTATGAAGAGGGAAGATGAAGATTATAAAAGGGAGGGAGGACATGGTCGATGAGATGAGAGGGAAGGCAGAAGAGAGATGGGAAGGGAGTGAGCATGGGTCGGAAAGGGCAAAGGAGAAAGAGAGGTGAACAAAAGCGGAGGTGGCAAGAGAGAGCGGGACCTAGAATGTCGGGAAAGGGAATGGCAAAGTGAGGGGATGCGAGGTGATAGTGATGTAGTGAAATGTGAAGAGAGAAGAAGCGTGAAAGGTACGGACGAACTGATTGAGAGCAGTGTAAACAAAACACGCAAAAGGAGAAAGTAAAACGTGCAGAAGATGATAACAACAAAGGAAGAGATGCACAAAAGGCCTTGTCCGAACACCGTGCCCGGAAAAGACGAGCATGCCCCAAAAAACCAGGGTCCAAAAAAGACGAAAAAAAAGAAACACACCTGAGAAGTCGAATTTGCTGCCAACTTATTCACAACACCCGTCAATTCGCGCCATGTGCCTTCGACATCTAGAACGAGCACTTGACCGCCTAGTTTACTGTGGAAGACTAAGGTTAGCTGTTTGTCATCAGAGCAGGAGAGGAAATGACGCAAAGAGACGGGCAAAGAAGAAGGATAAGCGACAGAACAGAAAGAAACATACCCTTCCGTCCCAACCTCCTGCAAAATGCGCGTAACCTCTTTAGCAAACTGTCCCAATTTATCAACCTATCCTTCATCAGCCTCTACCACATCAAAAAAAAAAAAGAGACACTTACCATAGTATTGATAACATCCTTCAACTGCACCATAACAACCCCCTGCAAAGGAACCGTAATCTTCTGGCTCAAATCCCCTCTCGCAACAGCATTACAAACCCTCGCTACATCCTGCACCTGCGCCTTTAAAAGCTTCAACTCCTCAACGGCGCTCATCCCACTCTCAAACGCCGCGGCTGCCAATGGGCCCATTGGTATGACCAGTGGACTAGACCCAAGAGGCACGTCAGGGGAGGAGGCGGAGGAGGAGGAAGCGTAGAAGGGCATGATAAGCGGGTCAGAGACGGTTTTGCCGCATGTTGGGCAGTGGGCATGGGCTGTTGGTGGGGCTGAGGATGAGTTGGGAGGGTGGGAGACGAAGGAAGCGGCTTTCATGGAGCCGTACGCCTGAGAAAAGGCCTTTGAGGGGTCGATGGAGGAGGGAATGTCATCGAGTGATATGGTCATTCCGTTTACTCGTGCAGCTGTCGATAAGTTCTGGGATTTCGCACGTGGAGTACGGTCCGCTGAGTGGTCATGGTGGGTAGTGGTAGAATCACCATTGGTCGTCGTAATCGTCCCATCTTCCTTCTCTTCCGCTTGCTTAATCTACTCAAAATCATCATCAGCCTTTTTCTCTGGTTATCACAAAAAGCAAAACTAGCCACTGTCTTCCACTCATCGCCATCGTCATCTCCCTTCAACTTCGCGCCCTTACTGATACCGCCGATCGATACAACAGCAGCCTCAGCATCCCACATCCTTTTCGCAACCACACCCAAACTCTTCAAGATCATCTCCGTCTGCCAGTCTGCGGGCCCATCGTACCGCGGGATAGGCGCACTTGGTAAAGGACCAAGCTCGTAGATGGAGAGGAGGGCGGCGAGGTGTGATCGGAAAGGGTCTGTCGTCGCCATGGACATTGTTCACTGAGATAGGTTTGAACGTACACGTTTTTGACAACGCTCGCTCCATGCACTTGAAGTGATGAATCTGACGATCAGATTTGGATCAGATTTACTGTTTACATAGCTGGAGATAACGGAGCGTGACGTGACTCGATCAGGATTCTAATTTATTCACACTAATATTCAGGCATATATTTCAAATATGATCAGCATATATTCTTCGCTTAAAATGGATTGAATAAATTTCAAATAAAAGCACTGAATAAAACAGAAAGAAACCGAAGAATAAATTTTAAATATATTCAGAATATAAACAGTGAATTTGAGTTTGAAGATATTTGAAATTTATTCTATGTATGTTCAAAATTTATTCACTGAATATATAAGCCCATGCCCGCAGTGTGAATGATTAGTAATCAATCTTGGTCCACCAAAAATGAAGATTTATATGTAGCTCTGCTAAATCTGGTCCAAATGACATGGTTTTTTTGCAGTATACACTCCTTAATGGCAGGATTATTCTGAAATGAGGATAAATATAGGTAAATACAAGTAAACAGTCTAAAATGACATATGCACCCTCAGAAAACATTGGTTTCTCTGTATACTGAACTTCAATCCACATGATATCACATGGTTAAAAGCAAATGCAAACAACTTTACCATGTAGGAGGTAAAGTTGTTTGCACATGTTGAATGATTATTAATCCATCTTGAAGATTTCTACCTAGCTCTGCCACTTCTGGTCCAAATGACATGGTTTTTTTAGCAGCATGCACTCCTTAATTGTAGGATCATTCTGAAATGGGGATAAATGTAGGTAAATATGACATATTTAGTGTTGGAAAACATAGGTTTCTGTACACTGAACTTGAAGCCACATGATATCACATGGTTTAAAATAAAGACAAACAGTTTTACCATGTGTGTGGTGAAATTGTCTGCACATATTGAATGCTTAGTAATCCACTCTAGTGGAAACAAGGATTTCTACCTAGCTCTGCCACTTCTGGTCCAAATGACACAGTTCCTTTTGCAGAATGCACTCTATATATGCAGAATCATTCTAAATCTAAGTAAATATAAATAAATAGTTTGGAATGACATGTGTAGTTCTGCAAACATTGGTTTCTGTTTACTGAAGTTGAATCCACATAATATCACATGGTTTGAAACAAAGACAAACAGTTTTACCACACACACGGTGAAATTGTTTGCATATGTTGAATGATTAGTAACACATTTTGGTGGAAATGAACATTTCTACATAGCTCTGCCACTTCTGGTCCAAATGACACAGTTTCTCTTCCAGAATGCACTGTTTATATGCAGGATCATGCTGAAATATGGATAAATGTAGGTAAATACAAATAAATAGTCTAAAATAGTTATAAAATGGCAGAAAAATCAGAGAAAATTAAGGATGGTGCTGATAATTAGTGATGATGTTGAGTAACAGTTTCAGGGTCTAAATGGACTTCCAAATAAGAAATATTGCTCATTGACGATACTGAGGTACTCTGCTTAAAGCCCAAGATGACAATCAAATAGAAAGATATACTAGTTTGTAATAAAATATAGCTAGAAATCCAGAAATGGGTTACTATCACCCTTGCAAAATAGGACTCATTCCTGCCATGCTTGCAATGGCCTTGTACACAAGTTTTAGATATCACATGAGTTCAACTTCAATATGCATACCANAGCTTACAGATATACTACAAACTTTGGTTTCAGACTATTTATTTGTATTTACCTACATTTATCCTAATTTCAGAATGATCCTACAAATAAAGAGTGCATACTGCAAAAGAAACTGTGTCATTTGGACCAGAAGTGGCAGAGCTACATAGAAATCTTCATTTCCACT